TATCGGTTTTCGTGACTTTTAAGATTTTTTCGTCTGTGGTTCAACGATATACAACAGTTCTTTATTTTGCTTAAGCGCTAAGCACTGCACATTCAGCACGAATGTAAGCTACAAGATGGGAAGCAGAAGAAAGCGGGGCAATGCCACATCGAGTCCATTACCACTGAGGTATCGTCGGATGCGGAACTGCGTCCGCTTTCAGATGAAATGGTTATTAGGAGGGTAAATGATTAAATAACATAACATAATGAAATAGACTATCACTTGCGCTCTTCTTCTTCTGTTCTCCGATCTTTCAACCCAAGTCCCTATCGGCAGTGTCCCTTTTGCTGGGCGGGATCCACGGTCTTGGAATGCGATTGCTCGCAATGGGGTAACGGTAGAGACGGATAGACGAATAACAGCGTAGCCTGCTGAGTTGACACTCATCGGACGATAAAAGGCTGAACGGGCTAGTAGGGAACGGACGGAGAGGAAGTAAGAAACGGGAAAAGACGAGTAGCGTAGGGTATGCAGGAGGCGAGAAACAGTAGCGTGAGAAGCGGACGAAAAGTGGTAGCAGATGATGCAGACGAAAAGCAGTGGCGGTGAATATGGCGAATATGTAGTAACGCAGGAGGGTCGACATTCACAATGTACAGGGTTCTTGATGCAGGCAGCGCTACATAGGCGTAATTCGGAAATCGTTATTACTCGACTGATCGGCTCGGGGTGGCGATGGCAGCGTGGTCAGGTGATTGTCAAAATTGTCGTTGATCAGACAAATTTTGGAGCTGGTAGCTCCAACGTGTGCACGCCCTGCTTCATCTCTCCTACCATCGCGAATAAACTGTTGAGTCTCGTGATGTCTGAAGTGTCGCGAAAGGCATCCATGGAAGCGTGCCGTTCGAATTTCAGCAGCTGAATCTCACGGTCCAGGTCGTCTGACATCAACATAAATAAATAATCGAAATAAAAAGATGTGAAGGAGGGAGTTGTAATGCAGGCGGTAAGACGGTGTATTTATAAAAAGCCCGTTGGTCATTCGTGTCACAAAGAGAACATGAGCCAAAATAGATGTTTCTTTTTCACAACCGAAATGAGAGCCAAAGGAAACGTGATAGAACTATAGGCCGAGAAGACCGGTAAAATGTCTTTAAAAAAAGTCCGTGCCGCAGAAGAAGAAAATCGGCTTCGTGCTGACCAGAGAATTTGATTGTAAATATTCGCTCCTTTCGAGCGTGTACAATCCACTACAGTTCCGTCGATGCGTCAATTCCATCACCCGTGGTTGAATAAAAGTACGGTCATCGAAACCCAAGCCTATGGCCACGCACGCCTTGCGCCAATGAGAATCAAACTCAAGTGTGAGCAATTAGCTTTATCCTCAGACGAGCAAGAACCAACGAATTACATTAACAATCAATATTAGGAAACAAGAATACTAAGGAGAGTGATTTATTAGTTTACCACTAAAAAAAGCCAAGTAATCACTCTAAACGAGTGTTACGAGTTCGATCTCCTCAGCCGTTATCGTGCAGCTAGAAACTGTAGAACCATAGGCATATTAAGCAGCAACGCACGCTACCTCGCGTTTGTTTTAGCTTGGCGTTTTCGAAATGGCGCCAAACGGCCATCACAGCCTAACGCTCAGAACGCTACAAACACAGTTCTACCATAGCTCGTCACTCTCTCGCCCTAGCGCCCGCAACCACACCCTCTCCCACCCATCCTCTCCCCCAAACTCTGGTGATTGCTCCCTCGCATTGTTCTGCTCCCTCGAACAGATTAGCCCATTACTCTCTCGAATTGCATGCTCTGAGGCGCTTCAGTAGTAGTCTTCTACGATGCCACAATACTGCCACGCAAAGGACGTTTTCTGAAACACCAGGACGCGATGCAACTATATCTTCATGCGCCAACAAATCTCCACGCAATTACCTCGAAATTGGGTAATAAACTAAACCTAAGTATATCAAAAGTAAATTACGCGACAAACATCATAAAACTACATGTAATATGAAAGATTCAAAATAGCATTTGAATCACGAGCACTTAACACAAATCCTAATTAAGGTAGCTCAAAGAAGTGAATATAGTCACAATAAGACTGAAGTCGAAAAAGTGCTGGATTGGTGAGAAAAAATCCTTCTCAAAATAGGCGAAAACAGCTAAAGTTAGCCTACGATGGTGAATTAGAGAAGGAGAGACTGAGGATGTGAGGCCCAATACCCTTCGTGGGAAAATTAAGAATCACTATGATTCCGAACCTAACAGAAGAAAGGAAAAAGACCCCGAATAAGATGAGCTCTACGACGCCCGCCCCCTTCTGCAGCTTTTGTAGCGGCTTGCTCTGCGTGATGATTAAGAGATAAGCGTTACGTTGGCGTGTTGAGAATTCCTACGTCGAAGCGCTATCGATTGCAAAGCTGCGATATGCACCCTAGTTGATTGGCCACACACATACTCATAATGGGTTTTGGTCACATACACATACACACATACGACCACACAGACATACTTAGCTCTTCATAGGTTGTATGATTTTTAGTTTGTGCGAATAACTAATGGTGCTGCCGTAGTTATACACTGTGTCCGTAGTTGATAGTGTGACCGCAGCTTATGCTTGTTGGATCACTAACCTAGCTGCAACTAATAGTGCCTGGAATGAGCACTCTCATTGAACAATAATCTAAATTCCAGAGGAAAGATATACAAACGCACTGAGCGCTGGAATGTACAACATCGAACATGGGAATCTTATAAGACCACATCCAATCCATCCATCGATTACAATACAGAACCGTAAAGTTAGGAGCGCAGTAAGCAATATGTGAAGAATTTAGGACATAAGTCAGACGACTCTGGAAAAATTCCAAAACATTCAGTTCTACATCATAGAACCTACAAAGGGGGGCAAGGTTTAAGTTCTCGTGCAGCTAAGTTAGGTTAGATGAAGAGAACCTAGTCTGAGAAGACACTGGTATGATTCCGGTGAATTCTTTGCCAGGCTCCTGTGAATTCAGCGAACAGTCCCCCTTCAGGGCTTGCAAGCAATCCAACTATTACGAGGACGTCATCAATGTATCGGTTATGAAATAATGTTCCAGTAATGAGTGGTCAATTTCTTTTGTTCTATGTAATCCGAATATATGGACAACGGTTGAAAGCAGAATGATTCCTAATGCCAGTGCTAGCCGCAGTGCGAGCATAGTCAGATTGGCGAAAAGTTGCGTGCGCCATGAAAAGTCTTGTTTTTTTTTGCTAATAAAAATTTTAGGTTTTTTTATGAAACAGCAAAGCTGAACCCTATTGCAAAAAAAGTGCGAAGGGGCCGCCATCACTTTAGATCAGCGCTTTTTCATCGCGCAGATTCTACGGCGAAGGTGTTGAACGCCTCATTTTATTCCGAATTTTGACATTTCTTTTGGAAGTCACCAACAATTTCGAATTGCGCTTGAGCAGTTCTCCAATAAGTCACAAACAGAGAAGTCTAATGGAAATGAATTCGGACTGTCAGCAGTTCAAATCTATCGCCAAAAAAGAGCTGATTCTGATCTCGAAGAACTGGGTCGGTGTACTGGTCCTTAGGCTGGAACCTATTCTTGTGAAAGAAGAAAATTGTTATGGCTCGCTTCCACGGCACCAGCTTTCTCGAGATACTCATCTTGAGAGATCTTAGCATTAATTTTCCGCCAGCGAGAGGCTATGGAGGCTTGAGAAGCGCTGACACAGCCTTGAATCATCAAATTTCTCAACGAAATTCCTACGGATAATTTCTAATAATGCGAATGTTCCTGTGAGCTGGGCTAAAAGGTTAGAAACAATTCTGAAGAAGTTTAGTTGTGAAACCTAGGATGGTCAGCTTGAAATAGCCGCACCTCAAAAAAAAACTTCCTATAGTTTTCTTTAGGATCTTGCTTTGCTTGCACAGTACTCGGCGTTTGAAATCGAAAATTCACGCGAATAACGCGAATCTCGTTAATTTCGTTAATTCGTTATAACTCGGCTCAAAATTGAGCTTTCGAGAATCCGAAGATGTTTGAATTCAGCTCGTCGGACACTACAAGAATGTGCTTTGATACTTTGGAAAAGCTCCATATAGGATTGCGCCATGCGCTCGGTTTTCATTTCAAAAAGTAGTTGCTCGCATGTGATGTGTACACATATAATCCCGCTTATGCGGGCTGACCGCTGCACACAGAGAAGGGCCTCAAAACTTTCAATCTCATCCACTACATTGTGAGATTAGATGAATGTATTTTCCGATTTAGATCTTCATTTCGTTTTTAAGCGCTTACTGGCTTTACGTGTTCCTCTGCTCTCAATATCCCATCCTCTGTATATCAAGTGGAATCTTTGAACAGTTCTCAGCAGGCTTAGTGGGCCTATATGTGACATTTTCCAATTTTCAGAGGAGATGTTTTGCAAGAAAGCTCTGAGTGGCGAACAATTTCCTTCACTGTCGTAGACTACGGTCACTTGTCTGTAAGGATTATATGGAAACATTGTTTAGCAGCCTTGTTTGTTATTGCTCGCCTAACAGTGCTTGCACTGGCCACACGGATATTGTATAGTTTCTTGGCACGGATTATTGATTATTGTCGATGATTGGAGTCCTTCTGCCCGTAGTTTATTGATTCCAAGCCGAAGGGTGCCGAAACTATTGAGAGTAGCTGGTGGAGGATTATTGATGGACGAGTATTGCGGTCGTTGAGGAGACGAACCGAGCCAGGAGCCAGAGCCTCGTGAGTCATCTTGGAAGGCTTTATATACCGTGACGACAGTCTCCATCTGCAGCTGTGACTCCAAAAAGTCGTTTCCCTAACGGCAGCTGGCAATCGAAAAAACATACTCTGAAAGCGTTCCAAGAACGTACTGATGTTAACGAATTCTAAAGCAATCATTTATAAAGCTGACAAATAAGTTTTTCTAAGCATATATATACAAGGTAGCGCATAGCTACACTCCGGGCGGCATATATGATTATTGACCGTGCCTAGCTTCGTGTATTTGATCTCTTACGGTCCTGATTCTTGCTGAGATTCGATCTTTTGAGTGGGAATTTTGCGTAGCGCCCTGTGATGTCCGTCGTGCTCGACGAAGAATCTGAGAGCCGTGTTCCTCACGATATCACAGTACCAGCAGCTTTTCTGCGTTGCTCTGCAATGCTCGGACTCGTGAGGACCCAGACAGTGTCTGCACATGTTTCTTCCCAGGATGAAGTTGCGTCGTTCGTCACCTCTAACAATGTCCGCACATGAGTCCGAATAGTGTCTACCAAAGCGTCCGCAAAAGGAGCATGTGACATCCTTCCCTTCGCCATCACCAATTTTCCTTTGTGAGAGCAGATAACGTCCGCTATACAGCTCCTCCAGTTCGATTTCCATCTCTCTGATGTAGCGACGGCGTTCTTCTTCTTGTCTGCGTCTTTCTTCTTCTTCTCTTCTTTGATGTTCTTCTTCTTCTCGACGACGTCGTTCTTCCTTTTCTTGTCTGCATCGCTTTTCTTCTTCTTGCCTTCGTCTCTTCCTCTTCTCTCCGACGTCGTTCTTCTTTTTCTTGTCTGAGTCTGTTTTCTTCTTCTTCTTCGTCTATCGTCTTCTTCTCGCTGACGTCGTTCTTCTTCTTCTTGTTTGCGTCGATTATTTTCTCTTTCTTGTTCAAGTTGCTCCTCTTGTTCCTTTTGTCGTTCACCTTGCTGTTCTTTCTTGGTTTCGACGCCCTTTTCTTGGTCCTCTTTTCTTCGATTAATCTTTGCATGTATTCTTCGTCCGAGAGTACCTGGATTTTGCAATAACTCGGTTCTGGCCCATCCTCGCTGCTGCACCGCCTCTTTTCCGCACTCGCTTTGCCGCTTTGCAACTGTGTCTCGATTGGTTATCTGACTTATTGCATCGAGGAGGGTTTTCTCCATCTTCTCGACGGCTCTATTGAACGCGTCGACAAAACTGCTTGTATTTTCCACCTTCTCATTGAGTATCCTTTTTTCTGCTCGAGTGAACTCCTCTTCAATATCGGATATATGTCGATCAAGCATTCTCAGCTGGTACTCCACCTTAGCTTTCAGTTGTTTCACGTCATGCGTCTTATCCTCGCCCCACTCATTCAACCGTTTTTCCGTAACCTTTCCGGTGTACACCAACATGCGGAATATTGAATCGAACAACATGAACCGTTGAGTGAAGCTGAGAATTTTTTCTTTCGCAAAGGTGGCCGTTCTCAGCATTTAACTGATGTAAATCAGGAGTTTTCCTGCTCTGAAATCTTGGCTGGTTGTGGAAAGAAGGTGATGGGTGAATTGAGCATCCACGTTCCGAGCCATCTTGATATGCCGTTCTATCTCGTATAACGTTGTCTTCATGTCCTTTTCTAAATCTTCAGCCGAAACGGCTTCCTTGTATAAGGAAGAGATGAAGTTGAAGTCAGCGAGGTAGGCGTTCCCCTCAGTCATGATGTGAATCTGAAACAATGAGGATATTGGTATTGGTTACATATCTGTTCACTATTACTATATTGTAGATTATTGTGTTGATTATTTACAGCTACTGCTGGAATTGATATAGCTATTTTCCTACGAGGCCTTTGCTGACTAGTGCTGTTTATGGGTAGCAGTGAAAGGTTTTCGCGCTAGGTAAAACAGCATCTTGAAAAGTAGTTTTGGCCCTAGCAAAAGTATAGCTGCGAACAGCCTGATACCAAAAGTAGAAATAAAGAGATAGGTAACGGCTATAGCCGCAACTAATCCCACTACCGTCAGGATTAGCGTCTTGTACCACTGGATAAATACCAACCGATGTGAAACAGGTCTGGCCACACGAATTCGGCATTGGTCAGGGATTCTCCTTTATTCCACTGTTCAAACATCCCTCTAAATGATGCCGTAAATTTGAGTATGCCGCCTACTTTGAAAGAGGCCGCCTTGTGCCGCAGGATATCGAACAGTCATTCAAGGTTCGAGCTTGCGTCGTGCTAAATCGCAACACTGAGGTGATCCTGTGACATTGCAAGGTATTGTAAAGCCAGTTTCGCCACAGAGCACTTCACCATGGATATTGTTCCGTGAAGAATAGCAGGTAATCTCAGTGAATGCACCTTTAGCAGAGCTGTAACATCCTGCAAGTTCCGTGGCTTCCGCTGTACAGAAGGCTTCCTCCACAATTATTTCGGAATTCACTGAGCCCATGAAATTCATGATGATCTCTGATGTTACCATGCTTGTCACTTCTGCCTTTACTTTCGCCTTATCATCTTGGCAAAAGGAAATAAACGGGAAGTTCACTGGCAGTTGGTTCTTGAGTTCATTGAACCATGGACCTATGGGAAACTCCCGACACTGACAATTGACTCTCGTTTCTGCCGGCAGGCGTGTACAGTCATCCACCATGGAACAACTAAGGTTCCTCGCGTCCTCAATAGTCGGACATTGTAGTGGTGGTAGTATATGGTCTTTCCACAGGGAAGTACGCGTCAAGTCCGAGATGAAAGGCTCGTCTAGAATCCGTAACACTGGCATCGAAACAGAAGTCAGCGTGAATGTAAGAGATTTCCACACTTTTGGAATATTTGGAGATAGGTGTTCTATTATTGCAGATGACCTTTGGCTAGCGCCTTCGAAGTGTGTGATTTCGATATTGGCGGCTTGCCTCCATCGATTGCAGTGAAAAATTTCATACACCTTATCATTAATAGGTTCCAAATAGATCCTATAGAATAAGCATCCCGAGCTCAAGAAGAAACAGTCACATCCTGGTCCCCCACATGACTCTATGCATGCGGTGTGGCCTGGAAAGTGATTACCTTGTCCCAGTTCCAGGATAAGACCAGACGAGTTTACTGCTGCACTTCTCTCCATTGCAGGATCCAACGTGTGCACACCTTTTGCTATCTATTACTTTGTACTGTGTTTCTCGTGTGAAAAAATCCGTTCCCGGTTCACACCACAGATCCAGCGATTTCCACCTTAGTCGTATCTCATGGAGCAGGGTGGTATTATCTAAAAGCCGTACAGCGCGCTTGAACGCGCTAACCTTGAAGACTTCGGAAAGTTGAATTCGACAAGGTTTGACATTATCTCCGGAGCATATTTTTGAGTGGTGGGTGAATATGTTCACCATTTGGCATCCTTGTGTGGTCCCTAGTATCGCCATAACCGCCAAGATCTCTACTAGGCGACGTCGTTGGAAAGCAGCCCTGTTACGGTTTCTTCTTAAACTTCTCATTTTGGCAGAGAGAAATCTAAACGCCGTCCAGAGGATATTGACCAACACGCTCAGTGGTTTCCCCATGGTGAGAGGTACGTACAGGAAAACGTAACATCCTGTTATTAGGAAATAGAGTACTGTGGCAGTAGCTATTATGGCTCTCATAGGCCAGCACTCCGGGTTGAATATATTGGCGCTGCAGAAGGTGTATTCTATTGATGGACAAAACGGTGCTGGCGGACGGAATACTTCGATTGTCACTATCGAATCCGATAGAGAAAGCTTCCATTGTATCTTATGTTCGTGCAGTATGATCTCGGAAAGCAAAGCTATCTGTTCAACTTCTTGTGGATCTTTAATCTCGACACAATGGTAATCGGCGCAAATTTCGCAAGGGTGTTTTTCTGGTAGATACAGTCGAACCCCGTTTTTGTGCAAGTTACTGTTCTAATCGCTGGTGAGTTTTCCTGATTCCCTATGGCTACCGCTTCTGCCGACAAGTTTCCGACACAAAACACAAGCAATTGTAGGAATGTAGTGAAGAGAACCATGTTCGAGGGTCCTGGGTGTTTCTACGCTCGTATGAATCTTTCGTGTAATCAACAGGTCTTCTTTTACGAAGATTGTACCTTTGTCCTCTTTCTAGTTCTTCGGTTGTTAAGGTAGTGTCCGACTGAGTGGTTCTTTCTCCCTCAATTTCACGTTCTTCCCCTGAGAACAGTTCCTGTTCTTCTGAGGTTTCATTGGAATCTTCCTCTTCAAGTTCCAGGGGAGTCAATAGGTTTATTGGTCTGCGGATTAGACGATGGGAAGGTAATCGTATGGCAGCTTCTCGTACTGTTCCATTGGCATTAGCTATCACCTTATGGATCATACCCAGCTTCCAGGAATGCCTAGGCTGTACCGGATCACTAGTACTAACAGATGTCTACGCAAAAAGTATGACCGGATGCTAATGTAAGAAGTAGTGAATAATCCTACAGACTCTAGGCTAAAGGAGAACTTAACTATTGCATAATAAATGAAAAGGTCGTGGTTTACCACGACACTCCGCCGCGCGGAGCCATGAGAAGCAATACATAGAGTGAATACGAGAGTAGCAACAAATAAATGCATCAACTATATTCTACCAAATAAATGCTTAAGATAAAATCGACTAAATATGGAGCAACATTAAACTGCCAAATAAAAGCGATGTTTCAAACTACAAAAACAGCCATATCTTCAGTTTAAGTATGATTCCTTCGAGCGGTGCTGTCAATGGTCCAACGTACCGTCACCATGCAAACCATGTCCAGACGATTGATTGATCGCAACAGCCAAGACGGGGGCGACTCACGCGGCACGAAGTGAACGATGTGATGACAACAGATCAGTGAATACCACTAGCATGGGGCGAAGAGCCGTTGAACCACAAACAGAAGTGGTGAACGAAGTGATGGCATTTCGAGGAATAGCACAGGAATCAGTTGAAAGCCGGATGATACGAATGGCCGTCGAAGTCGAGCGAATAGACGATGAGTCGATGCGAAGTATCTGCAGTATTTCAGCGAATATCTAGCGAACAGATGGATGAGGGGGAGAGTGTTGAATACGACGGAAGGGGGGGGGTAAGGGGGTAAAGGAGGGCCGAGGGATCGCGTTGATCGTTTGGCGCGAACGTGCAACCTCAGGCCGGGAAAATTTACGTCTTCCTTTTTTTGAATGAACTCGAAGAACTCGAGTATTTGTAAGGGCATAACAGCACATTGTGGTCTTGACCACAATACGAGCAGACGATGCCACAGTTGTTGGCATGCGGGGTTGAGGCATCGTTGCAAAGCCGTAAATTCGCAGCTTGGACACGCACGAGATACTGCATCTCGGAAGCGACAGCAGCGACCAGTGGGGTGCGAGTCATTGTTTTCTTCAACAGAACAGAATACGCAGTTCGACTTGGGAGCTGTTCTTTTGAGAACCACGTCGACTCTGCGGATCAGAGTGTCGAATTGACGATTGAGAATGTCGGAAAGAGCTTCCAGTTTGCCGTCCAGTGAGGTGAAGAATAAGGCGAGTTGCTCTTTGAGATCTCTGACGGCTTCTTTGAGAGGGTCGATGTGGATTGCTACGTCGACTTCGTCCATTGGAGCGGATGGCAAATGAGAGGGTCTGGAAATGGTGAATCATGGCATGGGAGCCATGCCTGGGTTTTCTACAGTGTTTTTCATGTGTCTGCGCTAATGCTGTCTTGTCTGCGAGGATTGCTACGGTCCAGAACTAGCATACTTGGGAGTTGTGAACTAAAGCTTTACTATTCCCCGCTAGGACTATAAGACATCTTACTTTTGACATGCATTCTTGATGAGCTCGCAAGCTGCAAGGAGAAGCGATGCTGCTAACTTGGCAATGAGTTCTACGCATGCGAACACTAGTTGGATTACGTAGAGAATGACAACTGATCCAAGGAAGTATGTTGCTACACCGAGAAGCGCGGTTGTGCCAAATATGGCGAGCAGCTTTCCATGAGCAGATATCGTCACTATGAGTGGTCAGGAATGTTGAAGTCATGGAACCAGCTTGATGACTTGATCCAAGGTTGCTCATGTGAGTTCAAGATTTCAGATTCATTTAGATGAGGCATATAAGCCAGAACACCGTGCAGTTTTAAGCTGGTGTCTTTCTCATTGCACTCAACGCGGCATTCCTGGGCAACGATCGCATGATGGAAGTCAAGAATGACTCGTGTCGATTTGTTAGAAGAATCACATTCGACTGAAAAGGAATGATCGTCGCAGAGAACGATTATCCATGCCGGTATTTTTGTGACGCATGAGATATTCAACGCTGCTCCTTCCAGGCAGCTATAACACCCTATGAGTGGACCTAGGGAGACTTCGCATGCCTGACGCACTACGTATTCGGCACTTCCCTTCATAAACTTGGACTCGATGGAGATTGTCATCTCCTCCCTCGTGGAGTGCGCGATAATCGATTCGTTGTTGCCAGTGATTCTCACGAATGGAGTCGAAATCGGAAGCACGTTTGA